TTTTCGAGCGTCTGCTAATGACTATAATCAGAGACAGGCCCTGTGACTTGACTCAATACTAGCATTTTAGTGCATCACGCAAGCCATTTATAAAAGCCATACTTTTAAGGATAAAAATGGAATCTTGGTTTTATTGAAGCCAGCAAAATAAGAATTTTAATTAAAATGTATTCTAATACATCTAAGTGTATTTCACAGCCATGCCATTTATGGGGAAAAAAAAAGTCTTTGAAAGAATATGCTATTTCAAATGCTAAAAAATTAGTTAAATGCACCCTGCAATATGAAGAGAAAGAAAAAGGTTTCATCACAGTACCTGAGTAGGCCGAGTGGTTTGTATCATATCTTGCCATTTGCCATATATCCTAGCAATTAGGTCTTTCACCTGCAAATTCAGATTGAATAGGTTAGCCGTTCATGTTAAAAAAGCCAAAATCACACTCCCTGTCTCCACTACCCTGCCTCAAACCCAGCACCCAAGGTTTACTGGGAGGGAACAATTTTACATCTGGCACAAAGTATCATCACCTCAACTCCAACCAGATCCCTGTAATTTGGGACTCTGAATTCAAAGTCACGTACTCCACACAAACACATTACAGGCACATGACTCCCCATGTTAAGTGTCTGGAATCAACACACAAGCCTCTGGCCTCCAAACACCCACCTCATCATTCAGGTGAATTAGGTTTGTTACCCAAGCCTGATTGTACCTAGAAAAGGTGCCTGCAACTGCCATCACAAAAGCCAGCTATGCAGCACTGTCTGACTCTGAAATCAATTTCTTATACATAAAACTGTGCTTTTTCATAACCAAACACAAGCAGGTATTTAATCCAAGCCATTCAGAACTGAGATTTGCTTCATATCTGTGTTAAAACCCAGCACAGTGGCATCCTCTGGAAGTTACTGTACTATTACATAGATGAAGTGAAGGGGAAAAACAAGAGTAAGATTTTCCCCTCTCAGTGCCCGGGCAACAGAAACAAAAGGCGACTCGAGATACAAAAATCCAAGGCAAGAGTAGTGAACTTGTTAAGAGGATCCATGCTCTACTAATCTGGCTGAATAAAAAAGAAAAATCTTCTTGAGAGGTAAGGATGCACACAACTGCAAATGTTTGATTTATAGCCAAGGAAGCAAAGGCTTTTCAAAGCTGAGGTCAGTCACTTTATCACTGATCTGATTTGGTTTACTACGACAGCATGCAAAGCCTGAAAGTCACAAAATTAGGAGTATCATTAATAAGCCCCACACCACAAAGCAAATGAAAGGCAATTATCCAAGCTTGATGCTACATCACATACACTGTTGGCTTAAATCCACAACATTTTTAACTAACTCATTAAATTGTAAATAAAACAGAGACACATGCAAGACAGGCTAGTCTTCCAGTCCTCTGTATCCTGCCCTGCATGTAACCTCTGCTTTTAAAGGTGGAGCCAACCATCAGTGAGTGCCAGGAAAAGAAACTGAGCAACTCTGTAGTTCTAGAAGTTGAGATGCCTGGCTAAAAAGAAGACAAGCTCACATTTTACAGTTAAGACTGCTGCTGTTAGCAAAAAGAGTATTTTCAGTGCATTAAAATGGGCATGTATTCACACACAGGCAAAGACAAGAGGCAGACAGAGAAACCAGGGGGAAAAAAAAAAAACAACAAACAAAACATACGAATGAGGAACTCTTAGAATTTCCAGGGTTGGGATGAGGGAACACCACACATCAAGAACACTAAAAGCCACCCCAAAAGCAAACAACAAAACTAACTTAACGTGTCTTACCTTAGTTCGATAAAACAGTCTTGCATCTTCCCTAATATCACATTTTACATGCTTATCTAAGGCACCACAAAGCTTCAGTAAGTGTTGCTAAATAAAGACAAAAGTGTACAGCTATTTAAGTTCTCCACATCAAAACTAAAACTTTCTTCAAGTATTATTTCAATTTAAAAATTATATGCTTCAGTTTGAATTTTTCTCAGAAATATACAGTAAGGAAGGGGGGAAAAGAAAGAAAACAAGATCACAACATCCTCTGTCAGTTGCTGGTATGCACCCAGTAAGGTTTAAGAGCTTTAAAAAATAGTTTTCAAAGTACAGTAGAGCTATACATCATGAATTTTAAAGTTCCTACTAGCTAATTTGTAAATCCTTTCTGTCCCCAAAGTAGCAAGTGCAGTGCCATTCAGATCTTTTATCAGCAAAAATTGTTCTGAAGTTACAATAGGTAAAAATAACCTTTTCAGTAGTGATGACTCAGGTCATTTTCTATTGTAGGAATTGGCTGAGCAAGTAAAACATATGCAGGGATTATGCACTGATGTTTTCTTTCTCTCTAAATTTCTGATTACTTTAATAAAGCAGTTTTGCAACTTCACAATTTCTTGAGAATGGCTCCCAAAATCTTTTGCATTCTGCAAATTTCTTCATAAAATTCTGTTTTCAATCCATCACTGAACAGCCGCAAAGGGGCTCTGCTCTGCACAACAGGTGAGACATGCTGAAATTCTACTTATAAACATTTGCTGGTGTCTCAAGACCATGACAATCTACCCCATCTAACTGGAAGAGGACCAGAAATGAAAGTTATATTGATTTTATACAAAGCCTAGCCTGCACAATATTCATCCACATGCCTCTTGCCACTTGATGGCTAACAGGTCAATGAATAATAGAATCTTGCTTCATTAAGAAATAGAAACATTTAAAAAAAATTAAGAAGATCAAGTTCTCCACAAATCTTCAGGAAGACAGTTGTAAAAAACATATCTCCAAAGATCATCACAATGTAATTATTTTCTTTCCCAAGTATGATTTTGTCTCAGACTACACTCTGTGATTATCTTTTTGCATTGATTAGGAAACTGAGACACTTAAGCCCCAAAATGTACCCAGACATTACTGCTTTACCTCTCTCTAACTGTTCATAGGACAGATTTCTTAAAAGCCAAGAGTGATTGCGCGGGGCAGAAGGCGTACACAAACAACTCGCAGCAAGAAACTCACAGCAAACGATCACAGAAATCTGAACAGGATTACTGAAAGGCTAAGCAGAAGGTATTACTTAACAGACATCAACTGTCATAACAGACAGTTCACATTACATGGCACAATGGAACTATCGCTACAGAGAACAGAGAGTCCTAGCTTTCACTTGCTGCATGGCTGTACTCCAGCGCAGAAAACCATGATGTGTTTGAACATATTTTACTGGATATTTTCAAAGTGGTTTCAGCCTAGAAGAAAAAATTTCAACCCTACTTCAAAAGTTCATAGGATCATTGGACTTCTTAAAATCTCTGTGTTGAGTTAATCTCCAGATACTTTCTGAGAAAGACTAACAAAATGAATGTCTGCTTATGCACAGCCTTATGTTTTGAGATAGTTACACTTGAAGAAATGCAGAAGAGGTTTTTTCCTCTGGAGAAAGTGCAGAGAAAGCTGTTCTGCATTTACTTTGCCCCAGAACAAAAAAGTTTCTCCCAGTGCTATTACCCACTGGTGATCTTCTATCACATGACGGCTCTTACCAAAATAGACCAAGTGCGCATGATAAATAGTCTTTTAAAATCTAAAGATCCAGCCACTGAAATTACTTACCCTTTGGTTAGAATTTACAACATCAAAGAAAGTAGCTTCACTGACTAGATGAAGGAGGATGTAGATTAGGTAGTATGCCTGGAGAGGAATCGAATGAGCTTAAGCAGTCAAAGCACAGTCATAACTTTTCACATCTAGATACAGCACCGTCTTTGCTTTCTAGAATGATTCCTCCAACAGCCAGATCAATGGACAACTATGTCTACACATCTGCCTAAATAACTATTAAATATTTAAAACAGTACATTCATATATTAGAAACATTTTAAAACAGTATTACAGTGTTCTAAGTTAACTAAGTAACCTACAAAACATTCTGTAGTTTTAATTACTCAAAATTAAATTCAACAATTGTCTTCATTTTCCCATCACCTACATCCAGATCAAAATACTTGCTAAGAGATTCCATAAGAGACTCAAATAACCAAACTAATATTTAATTTTTGGATGGATGGAAATACTAAATCTTTCTAACACTTGTTTATGAGAAAAGGTTCATAAAAGATTCATAAATCTTTTTCTGAAGCCTGCAGGTGAAAGTCTGGCTCAGCATCAAACAGTTTCCACTGATTACATCACAAGGGAGGGAGGATGGTCCTTTGATTACAGAAGACAGGACTCAAGACATCCATGTGACTTTAGCCATTCAGAAAATCTGACTATTTCCCTCTGTAAAACAGCCTAATACAGCTTCCTCCATCACATGCTGCTACTCTCCTTACACGACTATAATCAAAATTGAACATGAGTAATATTTTAATTATACACATGAACAGCAACGAAATAGTGTATGTACAGTTCCATGTACAGAACTGCCCTCAGTTAACAGAAATTAAAAGAAACATTCTCAAAATTGTAGAAGATGCATAAAAAGATGAATGCAAAAAAGCACGATCAACTATATACCTCCTGTTCTAGTTTTGTATGAAGGTGGTCTCCATCAGCATTCTGCTGCTCCAGTCCTCCTCTCATCTTCTTTAGTAGATTAGAAGGTTTCATGTACACCAGAAACTGATGCAGAAGAACAATCTACAGATACAAACATTAACTAATTGGACTGGTTTACTGGCAGCAGAAAATTGGAAACTGAGTGCCACTACAATAGTATTTGTCTACTAAAGACACAAACATAAAAGGGATTTTTAATTAAAATGGAAGATTTCATGTTTTGGGTAATTTTTGACTATTCACAAACTGAAGTGTTTGCATGTTGCCTCAATAAAAGATCAACCCTATGAAAACAAAGAGCGACTCTACACGAACACAGAAGAAAGACTGAAAGAAGCGTAGACCTCTTTCCCATGTCCAAAATGAATGTTTAGGCACATAAACAATAGTGCAGTTACAGGCTGCAGAACATGCAAGTTACACACATGCGCAAATATATATCTAATACTAACCTAAACTAAAAATTATTAATTGGTCATTTTGCAAGGTTCTTGAAAATAGGCTTACATTATTAAAACATAAAACACAAACAATAATATTACATGTTTTCTAAACTTCAAATTATACACATACAACACATATACGCAGTACCTGCTTGTCACTGTCATCAGGTATTTCTAGATGCTTTTTATTAAGAAGCTTTGAAATTATCACTAGGCTAAGACGTCTTCTTACTTCCCTGAAAAACAATTAAATATTTTTTTTCCCAGAGAATTTTTTAAATCCACAGTTTCTACAAAGTATATGAGGCTATGCATGGCTTCCTTAGACATAAACTTGCCTACAACTATGACATTAGATTTCCTGAATATAGGCGCTATTAAAGTAGTAAAGAGGCTAGTAAAATGTAAGTACCCTTATCTCATTGCAGCTTTTCTTCTGCACAAGTAAACACTGCTAGATGCTTGCCTCCAAGCCTGAAATTGAGGACCTAATTCATTCTTCTCACTCAGATACATTATAATTTATTCATTTCAAAGATACAGAACTCATAACAGATTGACACTTAGCAGACATGAATCATCCAAAGAAAATTTAATTTTTGGTCATTCAGACAGGAATTAGAGTACGTGGTGGATGTCAGAATCTGGAGTTGTTAAGTCTTTCTTTACTATAGGGTACCAGGAAGTCTGCAGTCCAGAAAACAACACATAAAATGTAAAATAACATTTTTTCACAGCAGAGGTGATCAAGAAGCTATATATAGACAGTAAGAATTGCATATACATCTGTAACATACCAGAAAACCCAAATACTTTTTGCACCACATAATACCTATTGCATTTATCAGACCTTAAGCTTATACAAATAAATTAGCTGTTAATGATACTATATATTTCTCATGTTACAGTGTCATTACCGTCCACGTATTATCCAGCTAGGCACCAGCTGAACTAGCCACAGGAGGTTATGGTGATAACTGGAGAGCTCACTCACTGCCAGGCAGAGCTCAGGCATCTTTAAAAGAACAACAAAAATCCTGATAGTGATGAGCAGATATGGTAGACATTTGTTTTATTTACAAAGGAGTACACATCTACTTCTTAGATTGGATATTAGGAAACATTTGTTCACCAAAAGGGTTGTCAAGCATTAGGCTGCCCAGGGAAGTGGCTGAGTCACCATCCCTGGAAGTATTTAAAAGATGTAGATGTGGTGCTTGGGGACGTGGTTTAATGGTGGACTTGGCAGTGCTAGGTTAACAGTTGGCCTTGATGATCTTAAAGGTCTCTTCCAACTTAAATGATTCTATGATTCTACTCCCTAGAAATATATACAGCATAAACTTTAAAAGGAATTGATCTATTAAGAGATGATGTGCATAAAAGTATTTCTGCATTGCACCTGTAGTTAAGTGTGCTCAATACTATTTTACAGTAGTTGAGATCAGATTGCTTTTAATGACATTTTGTCAGCCTAGTGCAATCATTTCTTCATTCTTTCAGACAGCCATTTTAAACATACAGATATTTTAGTAAATGTAAGATTAAGTTCAATACAATGGTCCCCTTGCAGAAGGGGATAGGCAAGCATGATGCCATGTGACAAAAACCCTCCCAGTATACCCACCCATCTCCTAATCTCACACAAATCCAAAGCTCCCAATTTGTTCATATCACATCTTCAAGCATTATTTTTTCTGGCATGTCAAGAAAAAAGCAACAACTTCAAAACAGAAGTTCCTTGAAAATTAAGTTGCGGTTTCATAAATCTAATACAAGAAAATTACGTATGAAGTTACCTTTGTATCCCAGTCTTTTATACTTATCAGAAGCTTTATGAAAAGGCACTGAAAATCTATCAAGGGGATTTGCTTTAACTGTTTCTCCAAGCTTATTTTAAATAGCAATAGAAGCAGCAGCAGTATTTCTTGATCAGTATATCCACCTTGAATTACTGTTGTACAGAAACCTAGAAACTTTAAAAGAAATAAAAAGCTTTAAAACCCAAAATTGTTTTAGCTTATTTTGAAGTATGATGAGAACTTGAGTTTTCCACCCTTACATAAAGTGCACCTGAAATGATACTGTTCTTGCAACATTTGCGTACTAACATCTCCCCATCTCCCAGTAACTGCACCCTATTTTATTTTTTTTTAATACCTACTGGAGGCTCATCTTTTGAACAATGGCAATGTTCCCTGGACATTACAGGAGTAGGAAAGATTTTTCTCCACTGCACAGATAATCCTCATCTAACTGAAAGACGGACAGACTTTCAAAATACACAAGATAAATCAAGGTATTTTTCCCCACCCAAGTATCATCACATGGGTTACTTACAACATGTGATGTGTGTGTAAATGAGAACACAAATTAATCAAGACATGTGTATTCTATCTCTAGTGGGGATGTTCTGAATGCTTCCTCTTGAACTAAGTCATTTTAGAGTTAAAAATCTCTAAAGAGAGAATTCAAATACTTCCACAAGAAACTTTGAAATCAGTTATAAAGTCAGTATTTTCACCATACAACCTTTAATCACAGAGAACTAGCCTGTGAAGTGTGACCAGCACTCATTCAGCCTATGGTCTCATGGGACACAGTGCATGGATCTAACAGTCAGTCACAGTTCCACCTGCCCTCCATGAGCTCCCACCTCACTCAGCTTGTGCTGCACAGGGACTGATCGCATACCTACGAGAGCGGCACGAACTAACACACTGAGGCAGCACAAAACACATTGCCCAACATCAACTCCCCTTCCCATTTCCACTGGAACACAAAAATGGATAGTTTCTTCTACGCAAGGGAGCAAAGACATTTGCTAAAAGTGCCATAGGTGGAAAAGGAAGGCAGCAGAACTGTGCAGCTGTGAGTGAAGCCAATGGAAGTCAGGAAACTCTAAACTTTGCAACAAGCCTGCATAATGTCTGCTGAATGTGAAGCTGAAACCCCAGGATAGCATCTACCCACAAAACATGCCTAGGACCAGATTTAGACACCAGGGTTTTTGCTAAAAAAAACAAAACAAAACAAAAAAACCAAACAACAAAACAAAGCGTACCCCCCCAAAAAACCCCAACACAAAACCCCCTCCCACACTAACTGGAGTTTTCTCACCTTAATCACATTAATTAAATTGTTTTCTGCTAGACTGGAGAAGGCTGGAGTGGCAGAAGTTAGGTCTTCTCTTGGCTGTTGTTTACCCACTGTTTCTTGCATCTGATTTCTAATAAGAGACACATTAATCTGAGCAATAAATCAACAATTTAAAAGCCCACAAAGGCTTATATTTGCATCAAACTGAAGAAAAAGCACAAACGCTGCATGTTTCAAAATGCCTTAAAATCAAAACAATTCTCAGTTACAGAGCACACACATCTATCTCAACTTGTAACCAACTACTTACAATTCTGCACAGCTATTTAGGCAACAGATCTTGTAAAACTCCATTAGGAAGGAGCAGAAGAAAAGAAAAATGCTCTGATTTGCTGAATCCTTACCTGGTGGGCATTATTTGAAGTTCTGGCTTATTTACTCTTACTAAGACCTGAGCTGAGAATTTGAAGAAGAATATGGCTTGATGGAAGGGAGGGGAAATAAAGGAGAACCTTCTGATTCTACGTTCTAAGCACAAGGCTTGCTTTCACAGGATCTAAGCAATAAATATCAAAAGGAAAACACTTACAAAATATCACACTCGTTAAAGTTGGGCTGAAGATGCTGCAATGGAAAGAGAGATCTAAACGCAACACCCATATTGACAAAAACAGCTGACACATCAGCTAGTGAAGGAATCCATGGTTTAGACTGTTCATCACTGATGGAAGCTACAAGTAAAAGACATGGATTAGTTTCAACTCTTGTTCTTAGCATTAGTTCCTTTTAAGGGAAACAAAAAAGCTCTGCAGTCTGCATCCATTCTACCGGCTCTCATCTCAGAGGAGTTGGTACATTATCCTTATTTTCAGAATGATGAGGGGGGGAAAAAGGTAGTCTAATACAGTATTTTACACTAGAGAAACATCTTGCCTATGTAACAGACAAATTACTTTAAAGTTCCACCCATCTTCCCTCACAGCTCTCTCTTGTCACAAACACCAAAATAAGCAAGGAGACAATACTTACTTTTAAGAGAATTCGTAAATTACCGTTCTGTGTAGGTACAAGCAAGAGGGTGTTATCATAGTGAGACTGGAAGTGGAGCTAAGTAAGATTTGAAAACAGGCAAGGTTTCTAGAACAGAAGTGCTAAAGAGATGGAATTCACTTATTTGATAGAAATAAGGAACAATGCTCATTGCAGAAAGCGCCGATTTGTACAATGACTTGCATCTGAAGGTCTGCAAACTGTACAGAGGATTCTCTATAGGACACTAAACTAGCAAGGTAATATCAAACTAGATGCAGTTTTTTCCAAACAATGACAGAAGTCATTAGAATTCTGAATTGAGTCAATTTTGTGTCTTAGAGCTAAGTTTGTAAGAAAAAAAACCAAACACAATGAAACATAACACTCAAGACACTGCAGGTTCAGATCTCAATATTCAATTCAGTAACAAAACAACAAAGATGCATCCTTAGTTAAGCACTGGAACAGCATGTCTCAGAATGGTTTAAAGACTCCACAGTTGGCAATTTTAAAGTGGTTAGACAACCTTCCAGGAGCAACTGTAGCCTAGCTGATCCTGCTCCGATGTCAGGGATCTGCTGGGATCTCTCCCAGCCTTAATTCTTTGAATGCTCATTCATCAGCTTGAACTGTTCATTCAGCATCAAGCTTAATGCCAGCAAAGCACAAAATAAGGAGGCTACATTCCCTCTCACATCAGCTCACAGTCTGATTTCAAACAAGATTCAAAATATGGGTTACAATTTGGACAGATCTGAGCAAGCACTTCAAGAGAATCACATTACTTTTAACGATGTCAACTGGCAGGCTTAAATGAATTAGTGACTTTTGATGGATCTGAATAAAGTGAAGACATGGAGAACGTACAAAGGAACAGAGTACAGATGAAGGAAGGCAAAACACACAAGAAAAAAGCAGCAGTGTGGGCTGAAGCAGATCCTTGAAAGTGTTTTTGTGCAGGTGTATGATTCTTTTCATTTTTGCCATTTATCTGGAAAGTAAACTATGCCATGCTACATACTGGGTATGACTATGTGAAAAACATCTTGTAGTCCTTAGGCTACGAAACAAACGTCTGCATGGAATCATAGAACAGTTTGGCTTGGAAGGGACCTTTAAAGGTCATCATCTAGTTCAACCTCCCTGTAATGCATCTTCCAAGAGTAACTTTTGAGGAGACTGGGCTTCCTTTTTGATGGAAAGGAGAGTAAACTTTTGAGGAGACTGGGCTCCTCTTCAGGTCAATTCTATTTGTGAAGTAACAGAAGTGAGTTTAAAAGGCTCTGTTTCAGATGCACTGCTTTGCAAATACATGCCAGGACCACATCCTGTGGTACACCTTGCACATACTCAGTGAAGACCAAATCCTAGCATCTGTGCATTACATAAGTAGCAGAAGAGCCTAAATTCATGCCAGAATCACAGAAGAGAGCCAGTGTCTTTTACTTCCTCCCCACTACCTTTCTATAGTTAACAGAAGGGAAATGCCTTCACTCAGATGGTCAGTTTTCCATCCTTCAAATACTCACCATTTTTTAGTGTTATCTCCATCAATCTGTCTAAAATCTGGGTGGAAACACAATAGTCAGGATGAACAGACATCATCTGTAGAGAGAAAAGAAGCTACATGTCAAACACCAAGTTGCATGATGACATCAGTTTTAATTAAAAAAAACAACTCCTCCTCTTTAGTAAAATAAAAGAAACAATAACAGAAAAAAACCAACCCCAAAGCCTCTAGAGCAAGATACACCAAGGAGAACAGAATATTATTAATATTATTTCAAGCAGTGCATTGATGCTATGAATACTTTAAACTATTTGCAATATCAGAATGCTGTAACCCCAGGTTGAATCTGTTAGCTCATAAGAAGGTACTGAGGGTTAAGAGACTGGAAAGTATCATGTATCCCTTCGGAACCCATTTGGATCTGTGATCAAATTGAACTACTCGATCAGGAGCAAGGGCAACAGAGTTAACTATAACCTTTTCTAGTCATGGGCAAGTTGATCATAAGCAATACTTAACTGAAACAATGAATTCTTAGTTTTTCATACAATTCTTAACTACAAAAACATGACTGTGAAGTAGAGTTCAGGTTTCCTGAAGCAAATCAGTAGCCCAGAAAAAACTCTTCTTTTTGTCCCCCAAGTGCTGGACAGTTTCCTGCTCTGTAAGCGAGCTGAATTGGCTCACACTTCCTCCTTATTAGAGGAACACCAGGGCTCACAGAAGGGGAGGAAGGCAATTCTTAACTGGCTGGAGGGAAGGACATGGAAGAGCACAACTCTTCCCTTTCAGCAGAAGCAGAAAGCCAGTCAACAGACCCAGGCTGCAATTTCACAGGCAGTCCAGCTTTCCTTTTTGTTTGAGGCACAATTAGAATGTGGTAAATAATAATAAAATAGAGACTGGAGAGGGGCATTTTTGTGAGTAACAGAACAATGTAAATTGCTGGGGATTTAGACACTGATGTCTAGAAAGCAGAAAGCTACATTTCCTTTGAGGATGGCTCCACACTTTTTCCTGAGCCATAATGCACATGGACCTTTTCCAGTGAAAATTATCCGATAATGCAGGTAGCTCTGATGATTTAGGAGGTGATATATGTAGAAATAGTACTTTTGCACTTTCGCATACTGCAGCATGTACTTTTTTTTTTCTCTGAAGGGTGAAAGGAAAGAAGATTAACATTTGCTTGTGATTTGGCCCACACTGTTATATCCTGAAGTCTCTTCTCACCTAGCATGTACTGTGCCCTTTTCAAATGCGGTAACACGTATGAAGATGGACAGGGATGTGCTACTTTGAAGTCACTGAAAGAGTGCAGAGAAAAAGCATCCCTAGTGTTTTACCCTTAGTGACGATCAAAGTATTTCAGACTGGAGAACAAATCAGAACCCAGAAAGAAAGATTTATTTTTTTTTAATTTAAAAGTTGTTAACCTCATGCAACAGATTCACAAACATGATCTGATTACTCCTGCTACAAATGGCTTCCAGGAAGAATATTATACCTGGACAGAATACAACTGCATGAATAGGATACTCTTACCTGGAAAAGCCACTTTAGAATTGGTACTGGACACAAGATACAACTGTAAGCAGAACTTAGAAAACCATTAATAGCCAAAGAAAGCTGCTGTGTTACACCAGAACTGTAAGACAAAGATGGGGATGGGTAAAAGAGGAGAAAAATCAATTAGTGGTTGAATCAGCACTTTCACAAAAGCAAAAGAACTTCCCCAGCCCTCAGATCATCATCAACAGCAGAGATCTATCTGAATATCCAAAGCAGAAGTTATTCTTATGCTCTTACCTCTATGAAATAATAAATAAGGTTTAATTACTATAGTATTTAGAACAACTATCTTTTTCTCCAGAATGCCATACTATAATTTGGAAACATTTGTATTATCAGACAATAACAACTTCAAACAAACATTGATTTACACCATTTTACTACGAACCATTATGCCTGTCTACAGAGACAGGCTGCTACGCTCAATGAGGCCAGCGAATAAGACTTTTTACTGTCCAATGACCTTTACCAACACTTTTAGAAGAAAAGAGAAAAAACTTTGTTTTAAATTTTTTAGCTAATCCTTTAAAAAAGAGACTGGAGGTAAACTAAAGCGATTTAAATCAAGCAGTCTAATCTCACTGTGCAAATTTGTGAGGTGCAAAAAGTAGCTGTTGGAAAAAGAGAAAATATGTCATTTTTATTACTGAATTATTTCAGATTTAGTCTTCATTTGAAAGTGAGGTGTGTCATAAGCAGATGAATGAATGATATCCAGTTTTCCACACACCTTTCTTTAGCCTTCTCTATTCCCAGTATCTGCTAAAACAAGTAGCTCTCTTGAGGGATCTGTGTCCTAACCTACCCATACACCCTCTACCTGTCTGACTGAGCAAGTGGCTAGGAAGACATCCATGTGCCAACTGGACAGCCAGTACATGCTGGCTGTGCCAACTGGGCAGAATGCATAAGGAATTAAATCATAATTGCCTTCTGCAAGGGATGATTCGTTTAATTCTCGTTCCTCCAGTCACTGATTTACAAGATACTTTTGAAGCTTATATCCTTGTGATCTTCAAAACATACAAATGAGAGGCCTGAAGCCAAAGGAGTATATCATAAACATCACTTCCTCAAGGGATGAGAAGCCACTCTCCTCTTCACACCCACAATAGTACATATGCACGTATACAAAATCCTTTAAGATTAAATGCATTCTCTCAGCTTCACCAATGGAAGTTTGGAATAAAATGCCAACTGAAATAACCAGAATTTTTCAGGATTCACACTTGTGGTATTAGGCAAGAGTTTGTCCAGCTATTTGTAGACTGACAACGTCATAAATACAAAAATGACTGATCTAACAGATGTCACAAATTGTGACTTTCTGCAGTCCTCATCAGGTGGAGCCCTAAGTCCCAGGCCCATTCAGGATGGAAACACATAAAAGTCTTTCAGCAGACATAATGCAACATTAGTAGGTCACAAATCAGTTCACCACAAAGGTCCTCTTTCTGTCTTGGGGTAGTTAAGCTTTTGTTGATTATAACATTTCACTTCTGCATTTATCTTCCACAAACTGGTCAGATTATCAATGATAGCCCAACACAGTAGAAATATGGAAGAGGCCAGAACACCTATTTTTTGCCTTACATCTCACTTAAGATGTTTTTCAAGAATTCCACAGGAGGAAAGAAGGAAGCTTCAAGGAACAATTCACTGTTCTGTAAAGCTAACCTGAAAAGGAGAATTCCAGGGAAAGGGAGTCGGTCTTGGCTATTTAGTAAGACAGAGCTCATTTGCATGCAAAGATACTATTTTATCTTTAAAAACTGCTAACATTGAAGAAAATTGTACAAGTAAACACAACAAAGTTAAAAGGATGTTCTTACTTAAGAAGGAGCTTTTCTATAGGATTTTGAGGTATCAAGTGAAAATTCCTCAAGTCAAGGTTATGTTGATTGAAGATTTTCCCAGAAGCTGATAAATCAAATATATCTTCTCCAGGGTGGTAGTCAGGTATGGCATGAGCTATTACTGAAAATCTCTTTATAAATGCCCTGTAAAATTCAAAATTGCTCTTATGAATTTTAACATTGAGAGGCTATTTGCTGGTTGAGACATTTATTTTCAGATGATGAACATATCAGCCTTATGTGAAAACTGAATTTTTAAAATACAGTAATGTCCAAGAAAATCCACCCAACCCCAAAACACGGTAAAAATGGTTTACATTAAACATGTTAACAACAACTGATGGAAAGAGAGATTAGGAGTTGGAAGGACCTGTGTTCCTCTGAGAGATCTTCATCTCCACTGGCATTATCCTCATCCTCTCCATCTGAAGAATCAGTTTCCCTTCCTTGTATGTCTTCCTGTAACTGCTTTTCTAGTTCATCTACCCTGAAATAACAGTTGCTGTTATATAATAACTGTGAACCCAGGAGTCAGTAGCCGATCATGCATGTGAGACATTGCATCTGTATAAAAAACAAGCATCTTGCTATTCCAAGATACAAAGTGGATGTTTCTCAAAACCTAATGAATTTCCCACAGCGCAATCAATCACTAGTTTGTCAGAGACAAATACACTCAACTAAATTCTGATAGATTTTTTTTTTTGTGATTGCACAAAACTTTCAATTTTCTGCTTGAATTTTTTTCTTAAATGTCATATTGGTATTTTCTTTGTTAAATAGTATTAGTTATAGGAGTATTCACTACTCCATAGTCAGTCAGCCCATAGTTACTAGGGTCAGATTCTTTAACCAAAACAGTTAATCACACATATATACCCACCACCACCACTTGCCATTAGTACATAAACCACATTACACTTTCTACCCAAAAGATCTCTTTCAAGAACACTCATTAGTTCTGTTCCCTGAACTGTGTAACTACTCAGATACCAATAGTCTACACAACTTTGGAAACCAAAATTGAGCTACAAATGCCTTTGAAGAAACTAGTACAGTCAGTCGATGTAAATACTTCTGTTTCATGCCTGACCAGCAGCTGCTAGCTGGCTCAGTGACCTAAAACGATGGCATCAGTAAATTTAGTCTGGCTCTTGAGGGGTAGACAGATGTATCACAAATCACTCATTATTGCTTGGAAGGAGACTCTCATTCAGCTTTTACAGCTAAGTCGCACTTCTAGACCCCATGAGATGTATGTTGGTGGCATCAGCAGGCAAAACTTGTCTTGCTGCTACCCAAACTCCATCAGTTTCGGGGAGATGAGGTAAATCTAAGCTTCTACAACTCCATCTCAATTTTTTCAAAGCAGCTTTAAGACACAAACCTTTTAGATTCCTCTTTCTCCTTCAAAAGATGTTCTAAGCTGTTCACATATGACACCTGGCTAACAACGGGAGGCTTAGAAAGCTGTAAATGAAATAGTACGAAATTAAAAAAATACCACAAGCTATCAATTCATTCAGTATTTGACAATAAACATAATCAAAATAGAAACCTCTTCCAATTTTCATGGTATTTTACCTGGAGATAAAAACTCAAAGGAGACTCTGAAAAACAGGACGATTAACAATTTAGGTTTTTCAGTCCCTTGACAGTTTTATATAATGGTCAAATCTATTACCCAAAGGTAACAGAAGTTAGTTTAAGTAGCTAGTGTCCACCTGCTAATAAAAAAGCCAGTTAATACACCATTAAGAGTCGGTATTCAGAGATACCTTTCAAATGTAACAAGCAGCATGTCTTTGTGTGGGAAATCTTACGGGAAAGCTGAAGACCTCTTACCTTATTTCCTGTCTGGTTAGTAGGTCTAAAACGACTGTTGAAACCCTAAGGAATCAAGACTTTATTCCAATGTGCACATATGTCCCTTCTTGCAACACAGGAGAAGAATGCTAGTATATGCAAAAACCATGCTCATGGAAATTTTGGGACAGTTCTTAACTGTTTTGTCTTACTCAGCCATTAATTATGTAGAAACAGGATAGGCCAAATGTTGCGGTCACGTTGTTCCACAAACATTTGATCTAGGCCGCACTTGTTTATCAGTCTTAACCATTAATTACATAGACATGTTGGTTAAGATTGTGGTATACGTATGTAACCACAATAGTCTGATCTATAATGTGCTTGCATAACGAATCCTAAGGACAGATAAAATAATTACCACTGTTCACAATTTGCCTACAGAGATAGTAACTCAGTCAACAAATAAACCGTTTCAGAGATTTAAAAATGGGAGGAGAGGAGGACAAGAGTATTTATACAGGTATTTGGCTGTTTGTTTTCTACTGTAGAAAATAGCGGCGGGCTGACCCCAGCCAGCAGCTAAGCACCACACAGCTTGTTCATTTCCCTACCCGGTGGTGCAGGGTAGTAAGCAAGAGCTAAAGCAAGAAAACTCATGGGTTGAGAGAAAGACAGTTTAGTAAGTGAAAGAAGAGGGGATAAAGGGGGAAAAGAGAAAGAGATGCAATCACTCAGCACCTGCCACAAGCAGAAGGATGCCCAGCTAGACTCCGATTAATGGCTAGATACCTGACTAACTCCCACTGCTTGGTTTTGATTGCTGGGCATGACCCTATGTGGCATGGCATATATCCCTTTGGTCACCTAGAGTCAGCTCTCTAGGCTCCATCCCCTCACAACGTTTTGTCCACTTTGGCCTACTCACTGCAGGGGCAGAATGGGAAGAAGAGAAAGCCTTGATGCTGTGCAAGTACTGCTCCGCAACAGCCAGAAGACTGGGCTCTTATCAACACTGGTTTTGTCCAAAACACACAGCACTATACAGCTGCTGTGAAGAAAATTAACTCCAACCCAGCCAGACTCAGTACTAAAATCTTGTTATTTAAATGCAGCCATTTCCAATCTGTACCAACTTTGTCAGGAATGCCACACTAAGTCCTACTGCAGGACCTTCCTAATTAAAACATTATTTTGCAATAAAACTTCAAAATAACTACTTATTTGATAAGCTGTTATTGAGCAAATAGGCTTTTAAAAACACAGATCAATTCATCAGCATAATATCCTGTAAACAGGGATTCAAACACTTAATCTATCCCTTGTGAGCAAAGTTGTCATTCAGCTTTTTGAAATCCTTTCTAAAGTACTTCCAATTTCTATGAAATTCAACCTCAAAGAAAACATTACACTTATAGATCAAGAACTCGTACACAGATTTCTGACAATCACAGACTGTGACAAGAATATATGACTGAAATCTAGCACACAGATCTCTGAACATCTAGATCAATTTCCTCTAGTTAACTTCAACTCATAAAAATCTTACCTGATGAGGAAAATGAAAACATTAGACCCCACACATCTTCTAAATGTAACCTCCTGCCTTTTTCTTTAGGGGGAAAAAGCAAAAACAGAACTCCTAAAAAAACACCAAAAGGCTATCGCTAATGCAATCTGGCTGCACAAACCATCTTTCAGCCATTCCAAGGACAAGCACAGTAACAAGCACACCCTTCCTCTGACTGCATTGCACTGTACAGCACAGGACCCTTAAGCTGAGTAACCAGTTTTGCAGACAAACACTTGAGTTTTCAAGCATTATGAATAACGTAAAAAATGGTATTAATAAATACAACATAACAAAGCTGATGCAATGCTTTTTTTAGTTTGTTTTTAGCCACTTACATGAAGATTCAGTAATGAAGTCACGGTGTCCTGAGAAAAACTGTCAAGACAAGAGTCTTCCAGGGCTCCTGCCTGTGGCTTGGGACTCGAAGAGAGAATTTCTTGCAGTGGCATGAATACTACTTCCTCTTCATCATCATCATCATCTAGACTGCATTCCAAACTCTCATCTCCACTATCGAAGCTGCTTTTTGATTTTCCATTCAACTTGGACTTGTCTGTACAGGCGCTCTCAAATTTTAACTCTCCTGAGAGTTGTGAAGACATATGGCTGCTGTTCATGCACCCTTCTTCAAAAGACAATGAACAGGGAACACTTTTACCAGTCTCTTCTGAGAGTGCAAGTTTCTCAGAACCTTCTACTGAACCAGAATCAGAAGCATTTTCTGAAGTCTTGTCTTTTGTTTTTGAAAAACTTTTGCTGGACTGAATACTGTAAGATTTATTGCGTGCACATCTTTCTGGTCTTTTCCCGTTTTGCTCCTTCTTAGCATCCAACACCTGAGATAAGCCACTGTTCTGGAGATGAGATTCCACACCTTTTGTTTGTGTTAAGTGGTGGAGAGAAGGCAACACAGTACTTTTTTCCTGAGAAAAAGGAAGGGACTTGTCCATGAAATACCATGAGTTAGCCACCTGCAACTGATTCTCTTTGGTATCCACAACAGAAATGTGATTTTTACCAGGACTGTGTGCAGAATATGAGGATGACAAACCTACAGAGGAGCATTTACTTTCCTCATTTTCATCACTTGAGTTGAGGTATTCCTCTGGAAGAGTAAGGTCATGCCTAGGTAGAGCAGCAGCCTCCATTAGTTGCAGAACATCACCACAAGTAGACTTTAAAAGGATATTTTTTACAAAGTCAGACCTTCTATTTTTGCATTTTGCAGATGATCTACTAAAAGCAGGGTCATTCAAACTTGATACTTCAGATTGATTTGAACTGTCTTCATCCACACTCATGGCAGCACGTTTTCTTTTCCCAGGAAAGTCTATTTCTTTGGATTGCCCAGAAGACATCTTAGATGTAAGGCAGTGTGAAGCAACAGAATGGCTCTTCCGCCTACCAGTGGCCATCTCAGATGATGTCCGCAGTACATTTGGAGAAGATGCCTCATGTTTTGAAACCTGCTTTGGCTTTGGTTGAGATGGGTCATCTATGAAGTGTTTAAGAAAAAAGTAAACCACTGTTGTCATGTTTAAAAATTAAAATCAAAACCATAACAGCTTACCTTTAAAAAAAACAAACTTCTGTTTTTAAGTCAACTATGACAAATTTTTATCAGAAACTACAATATTTCCATTCTGCTTGAACACAGTGGACCACAATGAAAATTTGATACGATACTGTTACATTATTATTGTAAACTAAATTGGAAATGAAATTAAATCCTTTTATTCTGAAGAAGCTCAGCAGCCACTGTAGAACACTTTTTCTCTACACTAGAATCAATCAGTCTTTGGAAACAGACAATAGCCCAGCTGAGGTATGGGACTGGAAGAAAGTTTTTGTAATTACATATATGATTATAAATAATGAACAGTATGAAAAATATTCTGGAAACACTGCAATAATTTTAACAATGCTCATAAAAAAAGCATTCAGAATATGAAGAAATCTGTTTTCAGGCTATGGTTCTATGGCACCATAGCCCACCTTCCTCACCATGCTTTTCTGCTTCTTGCCTTAAGCTGGACACTTCATGGTAAGCTACTTCATGGAGCTGATGTGGGCTGGGAATTTCCCTCACATCCCAACCCAGTTTTCAGCCAGATAAGCTCCTCGCACTGCTGGCCAAGTCCCAGTGCGAGTATAGGCGGAAAGGGAAGCATGGCAGCAGAGAGTCTGATAGTTTACACAGCCATGGACCCACAACATGGGAATACTGACCTTGTTTTCTGTTTCCCCCACCACCTCCTTTTTTTTTTTAAAATCACCCTGCTCACCTAGCTCAAGCTTCTATTCACATGAGCTTTTTATATTCAGTTCTACCTACTGTAGAACAAAATTATGAGATTAAAAAGGACAAAAAGCAACAAGAATACCAACTAAACTTTAGTGTTCTTTTTGGATTAAGCTGAAAGGCAAAATTTGTTAACCACCACTGTGAATGTGGATTTTCCAAAATGCAAGAGAAACTATAAAAATAATCAGGGATTAAGGTCTTAAGACAAAGAAATATCATGACTTCTAATTAAGTTATAAACAATCTGTTTTTCACTAAAATCCCAAATTACTTTTAAACCTCTTCAAGCTTTCCATAAATTAGAAATAACCTTGACTATACAGCAGTATTTTTTTGGGGGGAGAAAACAGGAAAACATAACTTCAAGAAAAAAAAGCCATTAAAAAGAGACACTTAAGTGATGAACCTGTTTGCTTGCTTAATTCCATGTTATTAGCACTGCTTCTACCTAAGGCATCCTCCCTTGAACCAGAATGTGGTATTTTTCTTAAAGGACATCCATTTCCCTAAAAATAAAGACAGAGAAAATAAAAAAGTTAATTGCATACTTTTAAAACCAGGATGTTGACGTCTTGAGCCAAGCGTTGAATCCAGCACAGACTTAGTTCTCTGCCCCCCCCCCCAATATGATAATATACTTAATTTCAAGACAAATTTAAAACAGTTTAAAAGACAAACTTTAAAACAGACAAACAGCTGCAAAGATCTCAACAAAAGGACTCTCCACAATTGAAATTTTCTATCTTTTCTTCAGAGTGGCCTCCGGTTCCAAATCTCTCTGCTTTTATGGCCATTAGCCACTTGCATCCCTGGGCTATATGGCAACATAGCCCAGCTGGCTTACCTCAAACAAGTCATTAGGAACTTAAATAACAAAATGTCAGAAAGCACAGACAAGCAAATACAGAGGGAGGGATGCTAAGGAGAAAAGGAAACATTCTTTGTTCCATTTGTAGCACATTATGGAGGCAGACACAATGATCTTCCTTGCAAGTAATCAGCAACCTTTTAAAGGGTTTTCATGGTAAAAAAGTGAATATAATTCAATCTGTTATGAAATACTACATACTTAACAGGAACACTCCCACCTCTTATCTAAATACTGTGGCTTAAGTGCATAAATCTGAACTGCTATTAACTGCAACTTCTAACTAGCAGAAATTTGTCAGGCTGTTCCCTACGCTAAGAAAACACACTGTTATAAGACATTTAAGATAAAGACATTTTTTCTACCAAATACAATTTAAAGTTACAATTTCCATTGCATTTCCATGCTTGTATCTAACACAGAGTATCTCCCCAGCTTTTAAACCAGGATTTCTCATTTAGTGTTAAATAGTTACAAACCGGCTTACCCAAGCATGACCTAAAATTTACAAAGGAATAGCAAAAGAGCATAAACTTTTGTTTCATCTGAAGAAGGCAGCACAAATAATATCTCACTCTACACTGAAAAATAAAATAATAATAATAATAATGTTAAAAAAAAAAAAATCACATGCACAATGGGTCACTGATTTCCACATTTAACGACCCTTTTAAACACACCTGATGTGATACACTTGTTCCTGAGAATGGCTTTACAGGATGTGGCTTAGATTCTTTCATTCTATGTTTCTTTCGCTTCCTTTCTCTGCAGAGAGCTTCCAGTGACAACCTAAATTTAGGGTCAGATGAAGCACAGGGCAATTTCATGGGAAGACCTGGGTTTTGGCACAGAGATGTGTTGTTTGAAGTGCCATTGTTTCTAACGCAGACTTTTTGACTATCGGTGTCTGATGATGAAACCCATTTGTCAGAGTCTGAACTAGTGTCTTCTAGATCCATACAGTCAGTTTTCTGTTCCCAACTATTTCCACAAGACAATGGTGCTCTTGTTACACCCAGACACTTCTCATTTCTTCCCTGTTCTGACTTGACAGTTTTATCCTTTTTGGCAGAGAAACAGCTGCGAGACCCTGCGGTAATAAGGAGTTTTTGAATTACAACTTTTGGGTACAATGAACCCAGTGCCTTGCATGCTCTGCCATTCTCTAAAATGTTTACACTATCTTTTTTCTCTTTAACTCCTCTCCGAAAGGCATCTACCAAAGGACTTGTATTTGGTGTCTGGTCTGGCATCTTTTTTCTTCTGACCTTCTTTGGAGAAGATACTTTCCTTTCAAAATGTTCAGTACATAAAACTGACAGTCCAATTCCTGCATCTTTTACATTTCCTCTGTCTGGTGAACACAACACAGTTCTGTCTTTACGGCCAGGGTCTAAGTGAGAAAAGAAAAAAGACAAATTATTCATAACATTGGAAAAAAAAATAATATTGGACTGTATTACATTATATTTTATCTCTTACACGCAATCCAAAATTAATTTACTTATTCGTTTAGTTTTGCTAGTGCCATGTGATTTATTTCATATCAAAGAACTGCATGATCTATGTCACAGCTTCAGTTGTTATAAACAATCTAGCTGAAGTGTGAGACAATAACATGAAATAATAATTACATCACTATTTAAAGAAATTAATTTTAATAGCAAATTAACGTTTTCAGTTACACTATTAGAAAAAACTTTAAATGTGCACATTTGGACATATTTGGTAAGCTACACTTATACTGTTGCTCCAATGTGGAACAGGATTGGACTACACTTCTGCACACTTACATAATTAAAAGTCATGTAATTATCCCCCATTTAAAACCCACATATTTACCTTGGTTTAAAACTGGTTTGAAGAACTCTGTAATGGTCTGGTTTCTGAAGAGAAAACACAACTTTATGTTTTTAAAAGAACAATACCTAAATGCCCATACAGTGAATACTGATAAAATTAAAATGCTGACATTTATTTCTACAGATTTTTTTTTTTAATGCCAGCAGCTCTTATTTCTGATAAATCAGAGAAAGCAGCACCATCCTCACTGCCTTCTAGCTGTCACTCTGCTTGGGTAATGAAACCAACCTGCCAGTTGCCTCCCTCAAACCATTTCCTTTATCATCCTAACCAGTCTTAACCCTTCCAGCTTAAACTAAGCTTTCTTAAATGGGACTGACCTCACCTGTATCCAGTATTCTAGATGAGACCTCATCGGTACCTTATGTGATGGTGTTAACAGCCTCCCTATCTCCACTGTCAACACTTTGAGCTGGTAACTCCTACTGTAATTTTAAAATTGTTTTAAAGGTGTTATAGTGGTAAGCAGCTGGCCTTATTAATACTATCAGTGACCAAGCCCTCTTCAATGCATTATTAGTTGCAATCAAGCCTAACCATAAAGTTCTATAAGCAAGTTGTAAAATTCAACTAATCCTGTAATTTTCTTCTTGTTGTCCAAAACCCTTTGTGCACCACAGTTTGTTGATTTTTTCCACATCTAGTGCCAGCCTGGGATGCAAACTCCTATCTGCACTACTACCAGACTTC